CATCCACATCATTCGGTTACCCATATTGCCCCCATCTATTGTTGGTTTGTTGGTTGCTCTTGCTCCCGCTTCCCCGTCCCGCCAATGGGATATTGCACTGACAACGTTACAATCCTTCGTTGAGCCCTGCCAGGTTGGGCAACAGCTGCATAGTGCGAAGGCCAGGATAGGAACTTCGCTGTGTCTGCCAGCATTCGAACAGCAAAGCAATGAACCCTTCTCCAGGCAACGTATGTAGGAGACGGCACACCGATGGTCAATGAGATGGGGAACCTGAGCGTCGTGCGATGGGTCTCATGCTGCGAGCCAACCTTCTTTTCGGCTGCCTAATGCTGTTGTCCCATGGCGACACGTTGCAGTCGAGGAGGCACTAAGGGCTGTGCCTTCATCTTCCTGGTGATCGACCACGTTGATACGTTTATGAGGTACGGATCCCTTGCTGATAGTATCCTATGTCCTGCATGGGCCGTTTACAGTAGCTCAAGATCGTTGATTCTTTTTAGTTTGCTTGTCTCCGGCTTGGCTCTTTTTTCTGGATGATCTCGCTTGCACCGGGAGACAGCACACGCTCTTTCCCCGAGGTGAAGCTGGGCAAACGTTCCCTCTCCGTTAAGGCTGCCAACCAACGCCCCGACCCGCATCAAGCCAGCAAACTACATGTACCCTCGACGTACGACTTGCATGACGGAGAGAAATCCCGCCGCCCCGAGCCTGCAGTCCACATGTTGGCTGGATTGGCGGATCTCCTTATGATACGCTACGAAGTACGATGTACTCTACACCCAGCCTTGCGCCCCCTCCTCAAACCTCTCTCTGCCCCCTCTTCGCTCTCCACACACACACACACACTTATATTTCATATGCATGCGAGCACACACTCACACTTCTTCATACTTATCACTACTGCCCCTCCCTTTTTGGGACCTTGCCCCCCCCCCCCCCCCCCCCCCCCCCTCCCCCCCCTCCCCCCCCCCCCCCCCCCCCCCCCCCCTTTTTTTCATTTGCACTGGGCCCACACCCCCCCTTCTTCACCCTTTCCCCCCCGCCCCCCCCTTTTTTGGACCCTTCCCCCCCCCCCCCCCTCTTCTGATGTATCTGGGCACCCATCGAACGCCCGATGCCCGGACCCGGGAACACGGATCCCGCGATGAGTGGTTCGGGTAGAAAAGGCAAAAGGGCATTGAGCTAGTTTTTTCTGCCCAATCCTACACATCAAGAGGTGCGTAAAGAAGAGGAACAAGAGGGAGAAAAAAGACACATGTAGGCTACAAGATTGTGGAAACATGTATCAAGCTTCCCACTCCTACCAGTTCATCACCGCTCTTTGTGTTTCTTTTTGGTTTTCTATTTGCCTCCCTACAAGAAGCTGCACCATTGCCCAACCAAACTCGAGGCCGGTCTAGGTCTCGATTCTCGGCCTCGGCCTCGGGCCGGGGGGGTTGGTGATGAGTGATAAGGGGCCGCCTACAGCGAGGCCCTGCCACGCTGGAGCCCAGAGCCTTCGATCTACCATTCTCGTCTCATGCGGGAACAACTGGCTCTGCAGGATCATAGAGGTAGGTGAAAGGTGACGGTGGAGAGGATGAGGCACTACAGGCTATGGTGTGTTATGGTTCTATTGTCTCGGGTATTCCTTTCGTAGGATCGCGGATGCGATTACCTGGACGCGAAATCTCCCATGCTGCCAACGGGCATATAGAGAGGGAGGGAGTATTATGCATGAAGGGCGGGCGAGCGAGCGGGCGGGCGTTGGCCGACTGCCAGGGAGGTTCCAACGGGAGTGGTTTGAGTTCGGAGACGGCGGAAGCGGTACCGGGGGACTGTCATACGTGTTTCTTTGAGGATGAGGGGAACCGAATAATCTCGGATGATGTGGTCGTGCATGATACGGCGGTGTGTCTTTTGTTGGGTTCCTGTTCCTGGTCCTTCGTTCTTTACCGCCTGCGAGGGATAGGGGATATCCGTCGTGTTGGATCTAGGGAAATTTTGGTATTGGAATCTTGTCTGGAAATTTTCAGTCTTGGCTCCTTCAGCTAAGGTATTTCCACTCGGGATAGAACCTTTCATGTTTCTTGTTCCGAGACTCTGTCGCGAGATTAGAATCACTCTCGATGAAATTTGCTGCAGTGAAGACCGACTCTCTCGGCGAGGACTAGTAAAACCAAGACGACTACTCTTGAGCTTGCCGCCTCTGGTTTCTCGTTTTCGGGACTTAGTTGGGCCATATCGGGTATTCTGTCATCGTGATGAGGCTATAGGGTGGCCTGTTATTTGTGAAATTCGTTGCCGAGAACTTGGTTGATTACAGATATGTACGGTCGTCACTCGAGGATCCTTGCAACGAGTGACGAAGGCATAGATACAATTTCAACATTGATATATCCTCTTTCCAAGCTTCCCCTCCATCTTTGCGTAAAAGCGAGGTTGACTGGGCCGTATAAAAGATGAGGAGAGATAATGATCCAACATCATTCCTACGAAAAAGAGCATATACATTACGGATACCAAGGCCACACTATTACTACGGGATAATCCATCAGGTCTAAGTACCGGCGAGAACCCCTGCTACTGTCATGACCCTCTCCAAACAAAAAAATGCATAGGTCATCAATAAACAGAAAGAAGACCGGCCAGGAAGACTTGGCAAACCAGATATTCGTTTGCGAAATTCCTAGGCCCCAAAGAATGTTATAAACCTTACCGGCTTCGGTTCTCTCAGATCTTCGCTGACCACCATCAACACCTCCCCCAGCGAGAGGACCATTTACCTTTTTCGGCAATGTTCAGGGGTCATGAAAACGGTCTGTTCGTTCCTTTCTTCCACCCCGACCCGAGGGAATGGTAAAAGGGGCCCAAACATGGGGGGGGGGGGGGCAAAGTCCCCAAACATTTGGGTTCCGTAAGGCTAACTCGTGGGATTCTCTTCCTGGTAAGAAAATATACCCTGGGGAACGTTTTTGCCCGGATAGTTGTTGGTTGGCACCTTGATCCTTCTATGCTACGCCGCCTCGGCCGCCAAGTGTCAAGTGTGTAGTAGATAGGGGGAGGGAGGGGGAGTGCACAAAGGGGGTGTCGGTCCAGAAAGAATGTCAATATACGCCACTATGCAAGATTGAGGCGTTTAAACAGTGGTAGCGGTATGTATTTGATGAGAGGGATCCGGGGTCTGTTTGTGAGTGCGAATACGGGATCATGTGGCAAACGGTACGGCCCTCGAACGGGGGTTTCGGTAAGTGTGCGGCGTACAGTTTGCATGAAGTGATGTTGAATCACTGCCCATACATCTCAGGTATCGTAGACAGAAATCTGATCAATCCTAAGCAGAGGGGGCTGGGTTCGATGAAGGGAGAAGGAGATCTCCCCATTCTACCTGACTACCTGTCTGAGAGGCCAAGGGGCAACGAGAAGGCCTTCCCCGCCAAGACAGCATGAGTACGAGATGATTGGTGGTTGGGGAAGGAGGTAAGGTCTTTGCGTTTTGTCCGGTGATCGGATTCTCGGGCAGACTGGTAAGGGAAATGGAAGAGAAGTTGGCTTTCGGGTTGTGTAACGTGAGACTTTTTGATAGTATGCATCAGGTTCGGCGACGATGATTTGACGGTCTCTCGCTGTTGACGGATCCGATTCTTGACTGCTGGGACGGCTGGCTGTATTTCCATGAGCGAAACATTTGATAGAGCTATCTGTGTCTGTTCAACGACATGACCTGAAGTCACACCTCTGATACTCATCTGCCTGTCGGATGCTCATTGTTGGTGGTTAAGAATAGTGGAAGTAGCATGAGATAGTGGGAAGAAAGCTTTTCTCTGGGGGAATCTACCTTGCCAATCACTACCAGGCAGAATGAGGACATCCCTTGAAGTACGAGATTCGCCCATCTGCCTGTTGAGTATTAAATCTCTCCAATCGCATAATTGCTTGGATTCGCAGTAGATGGCTGCCGCGTAATCCATATTTCTACTTTTGATAACTCCATGTCAGAGTGAACTGTACTTAATTCATAAGACAAAAGGAGGGATACAACCTTATGTAGGCAAAAGTTCATAGTGTAAGGCAAAAAACGATAGGAAAGGAAGGAGGGGGAATACTGACCTTATAATTCACGCCCCTGCCCAGATTCGAACAGCGCGCCCCTCGGTCAACCCGGACTCTGACTTCACTGGAGTATTTGTTTTTATGTCAACCAAGTCGACCACCTCGCACACAGCTTGACTTGACCTCGCAGACCTAGACGGGCGCTGCTGTGCTGGTGACGGCAACGGTGAATAGACCCCTTAAGTAGGTAGGTACGTCGGTTTAAGGAAGGAGAGGGGGCAGGTGCCTTCCATGTCGAGAGGAATCCATCTCCTCTTCACTGAGAAGTGAGATGAATCACCGCAACGTCCTACCGGAGCCGGTAGCGAAGAGAATAATAACAGACGACAGGGAGGGAAGAGCTCTATGTTATTAATCTTAGTCAGGGTGAATATTGATTGAAGATGAAGACCACAATCTCATCACTCCTAGCTACATAACCCCCGCCAGTATTCGAGCGTCATAGCCTTGCACGCTTTTGGAGTGATGGATGGAAAATCCGGGCCGTCCAGACAAATACGCGGGAAGTAGAACGGCTAAACTCTCCTGAATTTGGCTAGGGCGAGCAGCTCAGTTGATAGTGACGTTGTGACGCAGCTCCGGGCTGTCATCGAGGGTCGTTGAGCATAAAAATGTATACCTGATCTCAATACGTCACAGCTTCGGCTGCCTATCTATAGTAACATCAAAAGGGCTGAATGAGAAGATGGCAGGGTCCGCTGTAACATTGAACTTGCCAGTCCGTTCCCAGTAAGGAACAACCTTCATCGTCGAATATGATCTCTCGAACTGAAGAGAGTTACAGCAGAGAGGGAGAAAGGACAGGCAAAGGGATAATCTCATTCTCATCAAAGCAGTCAGAGTGCTGGTCACGTCTCAAGGTCAAGGCTCCTGCCAATGCAAAGTATCAGATCCACCCTCTGCTTTCAATCTGATACACTCTTACGAACGTGATTCCACCGAGCGCCATGTGGTTCAAAAGGTTTCCTGTTATTTACCTGCAGGAGGCAGGTTTCGCAGCATGGGTGGGCTGCGGTTGACGTGTGTGATGTACAGAGTCTACATAAGGAAATAATAAGGTGGCCTGTTGAGAAAACGCGTACGCGGTGGCCGGATCCAAGGCCCCCGAGACCGATTCTCTCTTTGCTGCTCTTCCAATACATCAGCTCCCGTGAACGGTCAAGGGATTCTCGACCGGTAGGGCGCTGTGCCACTGGATAACATGAATCTCTACCACGGGCATCGAGCATTCATGTCATTTGGTTCCAAAATAAAAACACCCCCTTTCCTACCAGTTTCTATAACCCGAAGCCACCATTTGCGCTCTTTTTCTTTAGATGCAGTTTGAATTAATAACCCGGGAAACAAACTTCTACTCCTTCACGTCGTCGTTTCGAATCGGTACGAGGCGGTGGGGAGCAAAGTTCAAAAAGGTTCTTTCTCCGTTTAGTGGGCAGCGGCGTGGGTCTCGCCGTGGTATCCAACGAGCTTGAAGCGGCCGAGCATCTCGCCGACAGTGAAGAAACCGAGGCACTCAGCAGCGACAACGGCACCGGTGGCCACGGTCGCGGTGTTAATGCGGGAGGCGATGGTGGCGGGCTTCGCAGCGGCGGCGGTGTTGGCAGCGGAGCTGGCGGCTGAGGAGGCGGAGCTCAGGAGGGCGTTGGGGTTCTTGACGGCGCCAAGGGCCCGCTGGAAGTAGGACTGGAAGGTGCTGACGGGGCTGTATTTCTTTCGTCAGAAGCTGGGCGGACAAGACGCTTCGCTCTGGTGCTGTAAACTTACGGAGGAGCCATCTTCTGGCCGTGGAAGACAATCTTGGACAGCTCAAGAGTGACGCGGGAGTAGTAGACAACCCAGGGAACCTGCTCTGTAGTCGGACATCCGTCAGCAATTGGCCCTTGAAGTCAAGGGTGCGCGCTCAATTGCGCCTCTGCTCATAGAGATCCTCTCGTGACCGGATTGAAACGTACTCTCAATGAAGTTGATGACCTTGCCGGTGCGACCGCCGACCTTGCCGAGGGCGTTGACAGCACCAGACAGAGCGGGGCCGGCGGCGCTGGCGGCGCGGCTCAGGCCCTGGGCAGCCTTGGCCGAGTACTCGCTGGCCTTGCCGGCAGCATCCTTTGCGGACTCGGTGGCCTTCTTGGTGGTGGTTGACTCGAAGCGAGCGGCGACGCGGGAAGGGAGGGTGCGAGCGGTGGTCCGCATGAGCGGGCGGGCGAGGGCGGAAGACATCTTGGACCGGGGGGTTGGGCGGTTGTGGAAGAGAGAGAGGAGGTCGACGGATTGAAAATCGGGGTATCTGGATCTCGGATCGGGGTGCGTCGATGTGGGCGGCTCCGGGGTCGAAGAAGGAGCTTCGTTGGCTGCCAATTGATGGGAAGGGGGTGGTGGTGAGTGATGTTTTTTGCGTAAAGTGAAAAAAAGAGCTCTCTCTGTCTCTCTTGCCAGAGTCTGCCCGACCTCTCGGAAGATTTCGCTTGTGCTGTTGTTGCGAGCCGGAGGAGCGATGGCCCGTGCGCTCTTTTCTTTTCCTGCTTATGAAAAATGTCAATTGCTAAGGTCAGGTACAAGGAATAGGTACCTTTTTTCCCTTGCTCCCAGGGGAAAGAGGCACTGGCACCCGTCGGCCCAGCGGACTATGCCGCTTTGAGATCTAACCAATCACAAAATTGATCTCTTGAAGGGAAGTGGGGGCTCTTTTCAGTGCGGGCAGGCATGGCAGGGCAGTTCACAGGTGCAGGCAGGTACAGTTCACTGGTGAGATCCATTGAGTGAGAAAAGGTTCACCGGCAGGTGCTGGGGCAGAATGGGTTCTTCCCATGAATGGATACCTCTTGCATTCTTATCTGCCCCATATCGAGGCTAAGTTACCTTGTATGGCAGCAGTTTGTCACTGCCTTACAATGCTCAAATCCTGTCATCCCCATCGCCTCACTCTTAACATCAACACCAAAACCCCCACCAACAGTCCACATCTCTGCCTACAAACAAGCATCGTCAATCTAATGGAAGCTTCATATTGTCATACGAATTCATTGGGAACATATCTCTAAAGTATAGTCAAAAACCCATCCATGACACCAAATCGCCAGCACCGCCATATTATGCCCAAAAAATCAATCGTGTCGTCTAACCATCAGGCTTGGTTTAGTCCAAGCTCTGGATCATGACCTTAATAGCGCCTGACTTGGGGTCCTTAGCCGCCTCGAAGGCGCCGAGGGCATCTTCGAGCTTGAACTTGTGTGTCACCAACTTGCTGAGGTCAACAACACCACTCTCCACCAAACGGATGGCTCTGGGCCAGGTGTTGCAGTAGCGGTACTGCAGCTGGATGTCGACCTCGCGAACGCTAGCGCGCATGAAAGGGAAGCTGATCTCGTTGCGTCCAACACCAATGATGAAGACCTTTCCACCAAATTTGCAGGCCCAAACAGCCGAAGCAATGCTGCTCTCCACACCAGTGCACTCCATGACGACAGCCGGCTCAACACCTCCAAAGGACTCAACGATGCGCTTGGCCTCCTCCTCGGCGGTTCCACGACCGACCTTATGGGTGATGGCTGTGGGCACCAGCTCCTTGGCGAAAGCCAGACGTCCATCGTCAATATCCGTAACAACCAGCGGGCAGGCACCAGCAGCCTTGGCGCAGAGAAGGGTGATGAGACCAATGGGACCTGCACCGCAGACGAGGACCGGGTCGCCAAGGCGCACACCGGCACGCTGCATACCGGCAAGAGCGACACTTAGGGGCTCCAGCATGGCACCGTTCTCATATGACATGTTACCGATCTTGTGGCACCAGACGGCAGGATGGTTCACGTATCGTCGCAGCAGACCAGGCACCGGCGGGGTGGACAGGAACTGGACCTTCTCGCAACCGTTGTAACGACCGGTCAAACAAGGCTCGCAGGAGTTGCAGATGACATTCGGCTCGACGGCGACTCTGTCACCAACCTTGAGGTGGGTGACGCTGGGGTGGACGGCGAGAATCTCACCGGCGGACTCGTGGCCGAGAATGTGGTCGCCATCGACAATCATGGGTCCGATGCATCCGTGCTTCCAGAAGTGAACGTCGGATCTGTATCTTTCCGTTAGTCTCGTCCTTGTACCTTAAGGGGGGCACTTTTGTCTGGCACGAAAATCCTTACCCGCAAATGCCGGTGCTTCTGATGGCTACCGTGACTTCGCCATGCTGCAGCCCCTCGCCGGCCTGAACGGCCTCCAACTTGGGCTCGGCCTCGTTGATCCACAGGTCGTGTGCGGGGTTGGTGTAGACACCAATGTTGGCCTTGGACACCTTAACGGAGCCGACCGAGGCGGGAGGATCAACAGCTGAAGGGGACATTGTGAAGGCTGGGTTGTCTCTGTGTGTGCGAACAGTGGTATGAAAGAATGGTCCAGAAGAGTGTCTCTCTTGCCAGGTAATAATGTGATCTGTCGGCGGGGTATGAAACGTGGGTGCAAGATTGACGAGACGACTGACAGCGACAGCAACGGCGAGAACCTGAGTCGAGCGTATGGACGAACAGAACAGACGAAGCGGACAGAGAGGAGGAAGAGTAGAGCAGCTTGGAGCAGAACGACACACGACCGGACAGTCGCCCGGCTGGATATATACCTCGGAGCTACTCGTGGATTTTTTGTTTTTATTTTTCTGGGCCGGCCAACAATCCAGCAGCTTCGTCGGCCCTTTGGTCAACAATTATTCGAATCCAGCCCCTCATCACCCCTCGTCGCCCAAGGCGAATAGTTTGACCCCAGTTCCCCACGTCGAAACGTCACGCAGGGTCGAAGCTTGTTGGCAGGGGTGGGGCGCTGCCGCGTTGTGGGAATCGTTCGGTCGCTGTAAGACCGATTCATCCTCTTTGCGACTTTCCGCTCCAATCACGATGACGATCCGTACCCGACATATACCATTCCCCGCGACAAGCTCACTGGCAAACTACGCTTCCTCTCATGTAGTCTCACTACGGATACAACGAAGCGGCACGCCTCGCGTTTTTCCAGGTCCAGGCACGCCGGGAGGGGCAACCATCTCAACACACGCGCCACGGGGATTTTTTCTTTTGCGTTCACGTGGTATCCGAACCAGGGGACTTCGTTGGGTTTCCGCATCTTTACGGCTTATGTTTGACCATCGCCTTTCCCTTGCCGTCGTATTGTCGCTTGCTGAGGACCATGACGCTCCACGAATCGCGACTGTGGCCGACGCAAGATCCTTTATTAGCTCCACGGAAACTTGAACCCCCTCCCCTCCCTTTCCTATCTCATCTAGTCTCCAAACATTTTGGAGGTCGGCCCCGAATTACCCCCATTCGAACTTCGCCTTAATTACCGGGGAGTCGCATGCGGCAGACGCCTTAGGTAGCAGTGAGCATCGTGCCTCGGTCCTATACCTCCCTTTTCGAGATGCGCCTTCATGGGGAAGTCTTTCGAAGTTTCATCGTCTCATCACGCCCAGACGCGGTCCCGAAAGCTATTTAGATATTTGGAAATTTGCTGCCTTGCATACTGATGCAGTCAGAACCTCATGATGTTGGCATGTGAGACTGTCTGTTTCTCGTCCTGCAGTAGGCCGGGCAACTCTTGTTGGCCGCGGGGTCGGACGATAGCCGCGCCGACGCACATCTTCCCGAAGAATTGATAGACAGACCAGGCTTGTTGAAACCTCCATCCGATAGAAGCGCTGCAGTGCATTGCTGCTTTGTGCGCGCTCTGCGGGATTTCTTATCTACCGACTTCTTGGTACTGCATGAGAGCAATCCGACCTTTTCTTCTTCAACCTACACACACACTCAGTGACTTTTGCACCCATCCAATCGCTCCAGGCCATACATTACCCGCAATCGGGGCAAGAAGTGAGCTATACCCGCCGCCGTCGGGACTAGAATATCCGAGGAAAAAGTTCGGACCCTTTTCGCGCCTTTGTCATGCGCCCAGACTTGAACTTTGGCCCGCCGGGCGATGAGTGGCACTACGATAGACCGTCGCGAACCTATGATCTCACCCGGGGCCGGTCGCCGGCTTGGAAGGTCGGCACCAGCCAAGGACCAGCGGGGACGTCGGTTTCGGTGAACCCCCACAGCACGGCGCTCGTGGTTGTCGATATGCAAAACTATTTCTTGCACCCCAGCTGTCGAGACCACCCGGCCGGGCT